CTTAGAGAAAAACCACCAGAGCTGGATCCACTCACGCAGAATGACCAACTACTGAAGTGTCTTTTCGTTGCTTTTCACATCGTCAAACAGTCAATGTTCACTTTTAATTAAAAAAAAAGCAGACACAAACAAATAAAAACATTTTATACGCGTTTTGAGGTTATGACAGTAACGCTATCTTTACAGTTCCCAAAATTTTAATTAAAATGTTTGTGATATATTGTTATGTATCCGGTTCTTAATTTGGTCAATATTTGTTTAGACCCTCGTTACTTTCCTGTTTGTTTTCGCTCATTCCATTCAGCCTGTCAGTATTATCCAACTAAAACAAAAAAAAAGCACTTCATACACTGCGTAGGTCATTAAAAAGAGATCTTTGCGGCCCAATAAATCTCTGCAAAGTAATAAATTACAAGCGCTTTATTAGGCCCGCATCAGATTAACCCCCATCGAATTGATCTTTCCCTCTTCAGTAATTTCTAATCTACTAAACGCGTGAGATTATGCAATTCATGACAAATGTCAGAATTTGCGATTCATCGCTCTACTTTTTCTGAAAAGTAAAAGATATTCAATACGCGACCAAATTGAGGGTGATATCTTTGGATAGGGGCGAAACGTGTGGTGTGGAATGTTAAAAATTCATCGTGCGTCTTGCGGCATTTGAGAGGATTCGTTACCGTCACTACCGCCATCTTTTTTTATTGGATTTTTGCGAAAAATATTCGATCGCACCTGTCGGAGATAAATCTCAAGGAAACTGGCTATAAATATGACAAAAACTAGAGAATTTATGATCAAACAAAAGAACAAATCAAAAGTTTAGAAATATTTGTGAGTTTTTGTGTTTTTATCAAAATAGAGAAAAAAATATTTTTAAAATTGAAAATTTTTATGATGAAATGTTGATTTTACTGCAAATCTGTTTGGTCATGTTTATGAGTCCCATCATAAAAGGTAGCTCGGTGTGCCAACAGGAAGTGAATGGTTGTGCAGTTTTTACGAGTGAAAAATCGTTTACGACGTGGATGCGTCGAGCATATTTGAACAGGACGTTATTATCCCCGCGCGCGCGCACAAAGAAAGACACACCAAAAATAGGATTGTAATACACCGCGCGTCGATTTTAATTTCAATGCATCGCACACCAACCAACCGAAAGAAAGATCATGAATACCAAAAAGCATGATAATAGGATTAAAATTAGAACTGCTCGCACGTTTTGTTAGCGTTTGATTCTTGTGATTACTCGGATTTATACAAGAAAAAAAAACGATGTAAAAATACGCGCACAACCTGACGTTTTCGGAATTCTTTCGACGGTTTTGCAATCGTATTTAATTATGCGTTCCATTGTGGAAATTTTACGCTTGAATTTACATTTAAATGGCGTACTGAATGCAGAAAGAACTGCGCGTTTAATTAAAACAAAAATCTTACGGATGAAATTTCATGCGCACTTTGAAAGACGAACGTTAGAAAGTTTTTAATATGAAAGAAATCGCTATATCTCAGGTATTTCCACCGTAATGATTTAATTATAACACATTCAACACGCGTATTAACAGTTTTTTAATATTTTTTCTACTTTCACCTGTAAAGCGCCTGTTTTTCATGATTTTGAGACACAAAAATGGTACTTTAAACGTGGATGACCAAGGTCGTGACTAAACTACTTTAGTCATAAGCTTTAGTCACGGGGTGAAGTTTGAAAATTTAAAACACAAAAGTTTGAAAACAATAATCTCAACAGAGAAATATCATGGAAGTATAAAAAGTTACGTAAATATCCTGTGGTTAAACGTGATTAAACACTCGATTATTAAAACGCTTGAAACCCGCGCTCCTAATCAACCTCGTGACAAAAACTCTCGTTTAGCCACTTGATACTTACTATACTATTATATATATTATATATTTTTGAGGTTGGTTACAATGAAATAAAATTCTTTTTTAACTTTTGTGTGGCTTACAATTTGCGTAATTGCATGTAATGATTTTTATATGGTTATTTAAGATCACGTTGTGCGAATGCATAATTAAAACGTGGACGCACAACATTATTTTCTTGCTCGGTAAGTCCGCCGTGGCCAATAACATTTTAACGAGCATTATCATTTTAATTTGCGCGTGTTGAATGTTACACGTTGTTTTTTTCACATTTTAATTAGTCATTCTTTACTCGAAGTGGTGTTGCGCATGTTTCCCGGAAAATGAATTGCTCACTGAACTGAAGGGTTATTCGGATTCAGGTTTTCATTTTGGTAAGTACCAAACTATTGGATTTTTGTGAGTGTAAATAGTATTTCACGCGTTTTTGTCGTTTTTTATCGCAAAATCTGTGCTGTAACATTTTATGAAAATATAAAATACTACATTTTATTCTTAATTAAAATAAAATATTTTTTATTGTAAATTTTAGTTAGAAAAACTTTTTTAATTGCAAAAATTTTTCGTGGAGTGAATTTTGGCATGTCCAGACGACAGCTGTGCGCAATTGTAGTTCTCAAAGGTCCAAACCGAGATAAAACGAAGTTCGAAGATCATACGGATTTTCCAGACGAGTTTTTCCATGCAGAAGTGTTGTTTTCTTTCGATTCTCGTCAACTTGCAAACTCGAAATGGCATGTCATCGACATGACAATCTCCTCTCTGTGCTGTAACAGTAACAGTGACGCTTTTTGCGTACTGTCTTCGTTTCCAACATGCAATATCTAATATTTACAGCCTGCTTCATGCACGTTGTAAATAAACAACGCATATTAGGGATGTCAGCGCGATGCGCAGGAAGCCGAAGGTAAAAAGGACAAAATTGCGACATATATCAAAGTATAAAGCAATTCGCTGTTGCGCACTGTTGCTGCCCTTTCGACTTGTGTGTCTTGCACACGCCGGAATTTCGCGAAAACGCAAAAATGTCGGCGGAATATATTCCTTCGGCGAGCTGCGTTCGGTTGCACAACCGCAGGAGGTGGAAAGAGTTCCACTCCTTGCATTGCGGAGGTAAGTAATTTAAAACGAAATACGAAATTCGCGGGACGTGCAAGCCGACGTGGAACGTGCCGTACTATATGATATTTGATGCGCAAATTCGACCTCTGTTTTCATCCAGCGCTCGCTGCATGCATCCTGAATTCAGGCAATAAACGTTGGCGAAAATCGATTTTGACTATACCACTTTGTTCCGACGCTTTGCATATGTGATACACCTTGGAAATTTATTCGTCAGACAGGCGGAATATTTACAAGTGTTAATAAATAATCAAACGAGCAAAACAAAAAGAAAAAATTTGAATTTTTGATGTGCATGTAATTTTACATTCTAATGATCTCGTTTTCTTTGATTAGTGCTCAGCGAGCGCATTTGGCGGTTGGCAAAATGATAGAAATTGCAAATTTCCACGTCCGACGTTCGTGTAAATTAATTTGCATAATTAGAACGAAGGCTCATTGCTGATGCGGAGGCATAACAAATCAGAAAACGAAAACAATTTGCATTCGCTTCGAAACTGCCTCAACCATGCAATTTTCCATAATTAATCTTTTTTTTGCTTTTTTCTATTTTCTGTCGAATATATAAATTCTTAAATAAAATACGTGGGTTTAATGATGTTGTCAAATTGCGCTGTGCTACGTAATTTGCCTCCAATTTGCAACAAATTTCATCGCAAGGATTTTTCTCTCGTATTTTATTCCGTCAAGTATTTGCCAACATTTTGTTTTACTTTGAGCTATCGCGAGTAAGAAGTTATGCAACCCAAATATCAGCAACGCAGCACATAATTTGATACACACCGTTAAAGTCGAAGTTAAAGTTGAGTTAAAGTGTAACTTTCCGGTCGGAATTTCCGCCTGGTCGCGTTGCATTGTGTTCGCTTGTCGCTGCGAGCGTTTCAGACGAGAGTTTCACAGATTTTGTGGTTATGGTGTCGATGTGTCACAAGGGACCACGCCACTGGCATCACAAAACGGCATCTTTTTTCGCCATTGCACAAAATTAACCCAAATACGCGGGAATATTATGTGGGAAATTCAAGCGTGAGGAATTTATTTATTCATAAAAAATGTTTTTATGAGTTTTTGCGGGGAAATTTTCGTTTTTGCCTCGAGGAAAATTGCGCAGCGCATTGTTCGCGCGAAATCCATCAAACGAACGCGCCCCCGAACGACAGGTACAATCAAGTCAAGCAGCTGTCTGCGTCGACATGTGCGCACCACTAAAATATAAAAAGCGCTCCTCTCGAACATTTTTTTAAGCACATCATGTGTGTACGGCGCAATGCCGCCGTAAAAAAATGAAATAAACGTGAAAAAGCTGCCCTCGGGTCTGTTTTAGGGGATTTCTCACTAAACGTCGAGCGCAAAAATTTTATTGCACTCACTCCGAATGCATGTTGGTACATTTGTCATTTGTCTACGTCTGCCGGAGTTTATCTTTCACTTTAGACGTAAAAAAAGCACTCGGTAATAAAAATGTCTTGATTGAGTGATGAGATTGACAAAATTGATTGGACTTTGTGCAGGTGTGCATTGCTAACGAGTGATTGCTAATGAAGCGTAGCAAGCTGGCCTTCCTTTATTGATAGCAATCGGCGCTGATTGTAGGCGACAATCAGGACGAGGCTGCGTCCGATAGCATCTCATGATCGTTGCCACGAAATTCTGAAAAGCTCACGCTCTCGCCTTAGGTGCGGATATTCGACAAATGTTTGCTCAGCTGCAACTGATCCTCGAAAATCAACGTGATTGGGTCCATTTAGCAAATTTCAGCGAAAACAAACTAAAATTAATTAAAACCCACCCGGAAAACGTCAAAAACATATAATTTTGCTCCGCCTACTTTATGGGCGGAGCTTAAATTCACAAAACACAAATATTTCCCTTGAAATTCAAAGATTTTTACCTTTTTTGTTTTCAAGGGTATTGTATATACTTACTCAGGTATTATATAGTAATAATGATTAAATTTGAGTCCTCAATCGGTAATCCTCTGTTTGCAGGCTACAACACGTACACGCACAATGATTCGGCGCACTCGGAGCGTGTCCCCGACGAAATCCTCTCAGTTCGCTACGAGGACGGAAAATGGTCGAAGCCGTATTATGATTGTGGCGGCGGCAACATCTGGATGCTCACCTACACGGTGCCGTTCTTTGGCTTCAACAACAGCACCTACTTTTTCAAGTAAGTCATACGCAGGCGGTGTGCGCACATAAAATGAGTTCATTAAATTTTTTGCCGGGAATTCGTCATAAAGCAGAACGCTCGGAATGATGATGAGCGATGCGCAGAGAAAAGGATGGTCATTTTTCTCGAGCGCATGGCTTACAATTCTCGTGGTTGCGCTCATTTTTCATCTTTTATTTATTTTCTCTGCTTTGTTTACTCACACAACACGTAAAACCACAATATTTTTATTATAAATATGATTTTTTTTGTACATTTGAAACAAAAATGTGAAATTTGCTCCGCCCAGTGCTTATTCTGCGCATGCGTCAACCGCGCGTAGGAAATTTAACCTAAAACTAATTTTATTTCACTTTAAGCGTCCATTCAAGTACATACAAGTATAAAACAGCATGTTTTATGTATTTTTTAAATAAATATTAATGTATTCCCACCGCTCGGGTTGAGAACGTTCGCCGTGCATCATAGAAAAAGTCAAAAAGTTACATTTTATGCGGCAATAAAATAAAAAGTAGATAACGCAGGAATTTATTATTTCGCGTCTTCTTTTCCCACACGTCTAGTCAAACTTATATTGCTTTCGCCCCGGTGTGCCGGCTTCCGGCGCTCGCTTTTTGGCCAAACTGTTTGCGCTGGCCCGGACATGTAATTGCGTTCGGGTTAAAATTGCGATTGAAATAATGCCGCAATCGAGGTTTTGGCCGCGCGCGTATTCCGCCGGAATATAATATCGTTTTCGACGCCATTAACCGCCACAACCACCTTCGAAATTGCGTTCGCGAATGGCCCCGACGTCGTTCCGCTCGTGGATAGCATCTTAATCGTTTCAGGACGCAGCCAAATCTAACCGAATGTATACCGCACATTAAATACTTTTCTCATTAACTCTCTGCAAGCTCAAACTTTCAACATATTGTCACATGTTTACATTCACATCATCAATTTGAAGTCATTTCAGTTGAATCAACTTTAAACGAGTAGTTTTATTTTATTTTTAGTTTTCTGGGAGCATATAAGTAACCTTGATGTGCTTTTATTGTTTGCAATTATCGATGCGGTGCCGGATGGGTCCAAATCTGCGTCCCATGCGCTTCGGTACCGAATCAATAGAAAGCACTCTCGCGGCGTTAATGTGCCCTCTTCGTTCTAATTGAATTCCTCGCCGAATCCGACTGAAAATTAAATTGTTTTTCTCGCTTTCGTTTCATTTGCATTTCCGGCGCGCGTTACCCGATTTCTTTGGTCAGACAAATTGATTCACCGAATCGGATTCGACGCTTCTTCTGCGCCAAACCTTTGTGTATTTATTGGAAAGATTTTTAAAACAACTCTCTCAAGTGTATTTTTTACCCATTACACAAATTCCCACACTTTTTCAGTAAACACGTAATTTTACGTAAAACTTGTATATTTATGTATTTATGAAGGAATTGAAGGGTGAACCCTTGTCAAAAAAGTAATCCGCAAACATTCGACACCATGTTAAATATTTCTGGTTGTCTGGCCCTTTTCCTTAGATAAATCCTTCCATGATTGACATAAACAAACAAAAAAATGTGCAACACTCCAAAAGGTAATTTAGTTATAAAATAAAAGCGAATTCCAGTACGGAAACAAAGCGTGTTCCTTTCTGCCGGGCACAAAAGAAATAAATCGCCGGACGAGATCTAATCGTAAGCTCGTTCTGCACACAAAGCGCCGCAATGTCCTCCCGATGCACATGCACCTAATCTTACTCGCCAGGATAAGGATCAGGATCAGCCATATACGCGCACTGGGAATTTTATGCATGAATACTAACTCCAGTTTTCCGCCCAACTGCAACGTACGTTCAGCCCGTTTTTATTGGAATGTGGTGGGGATTTTCGGATTGTATTGTGAGTTATCTCACAAAAATAACAATTCGCACAGTATTAAAATGTAAAATGCTAGCAAACAACATGAGCGCTTGTTGTGCTGCAACATTACGTTAGGGTTGATATAATGTGTTGCCCGGCGCCTCCACTAGCACTGAAAATGCATATTTGAATATAAATATTCGTACAGCTGCGGTCGGCAAGTTGCAACTTGCAACTTGCAACTTCAACTGAACATAACACTTTCGAGTGAGTGTTGAGCTTATTTAAATTTGGCTCTTGTCTCGAGCGTCGGAATCGTCTCTAATTAACATTGCGTTTCAACCGGCTGATGCCCGGCGCCTTCACTTTATATCTTTCCGAGTATAAAACTTTTTATTTTTCATTTTAAAAACCTAAAAAATATATTGGTGTAATGCAGTAGTCGATAAATCATTAGTCTTTGGCATTTGGACTTAAAGGTCGCTGGCAAAGCTTCCAATAATTCGGGATATTGGAAGTGGAGTCGAAATGTGTCTATGTTGGTGTACGCTGTGCTAAAAGTCGACTTTCGGAGTGAAAGCTTAATAAACATTAATCTCAATACAGACCGCGAGCGCGCAGCGCAAAGTTTGCGCAAAGATTTACAGCGATTTTCGTTTCAACAAGTACCCGCTTTATGCTCTCACCTAAATTTACATTTCCAGCTGCGTCATCGTAAATCATCATTTAAACATTTTAACATTTTAACATTCTAACAAATTATGACGCTTTTAAACCAAGTGCTCAAAAATCGCTAAGCATAACGCACAATTAAATTAAATTACTTAAGTATAGTCATTTGTATCTTAACTAGCAGCTATAAATGTTACACAAAACGTTTCATTAGTATACTCGTAATTGACATCATTTATTCTCACGTGCAAATTTTTTTTCTTTTATTATTTCAACACACAATTATTCCCGCTAGAATACTGCGAGAAAATGAATTTTTATTAAAAAATACAATAAAAATCCCCGATTTATTGTTACAAAAACAATGAGCTGATGAAATCGAGTTCAAATCGGAATATTCCCACTAATAACCCAGGGCGTCGATGTCGGTGTCGAAGCGCCGTTATCGTTATTGGATAACTTTCATTCACGCAAAAGTTACGCCTTTCAATTGCGAAGTTGGCGAGTTACATTTGTTACGCGCCGCGTCCGCACCGTGCAATTTCATATATGCGAATGATTTATATCTAATATGAGCGCGCGCGGAAATAAACTCGCCCGATGAGCGCCTGCCGTGTTAAAACGAATCCCGCCGCCGAATCCCGGAATTTCATTACCTACCACCGCGCGCGTGCGGAAAGCGGATGCGGAAATTGAACCAAGTTGTTATCAACTATAGAAATAAAATTTTGATCATTTGCTGCAAACCTGATTTACTTTCATCATTCTGATTTAACGAGTGTTATATTTTTACCATGAACAAATAGCTAATCCAACATAACCTAAAACAAAATATTTTTAAGGTTAGAAGACGTGTAAATAACCTTGTTGACGTTACAAGTAAAGTAGTAGTTGAGAAACACGCAAAAAACGTTGTCGCGCGCGCAACGAATAAATTTATTTGCGAGGTGTCATGTGCAAGGCGAGAGATTTCGAAAGACTTTCCACGCGCGACGCCATTGCTGTGACGCGGGTGGTATACATGCGATTTTTCAGCTCGCGCGAGCCGCGCACTTAACGCCCAGCGGACGTAAATGCTGATAAATTGGAAAATTTATACGCATTTCAACGGCTACATGTTATTCCAGCGTGCGCCAGCCTCGATTGCACATTCAAGCGTGAAGCAAAACGCTCTCGTAGGTGTAGATGACGTCGTAGATGGCGCTGCGGAGCGTGTCCTCGAGAGCTCTTTGCTATTCAGCGTGTTCGACATTCAGCACATTCAACATTTACTATTCAACTGCAGCAAACTGAAAAATGCCGGACAGGGAGCTGTTGGCTGGTGCGCTGAATAAGTTATTTACATTTAAAATATCACAATACGTTTTATTGACACAATTTGATCAAGTAGTGCGTTTATATTTTCGATTTAATTTATTTTTCAACCGCTCCCGGTTGAAACTGACGTTTCATTAAATCCTGTAGTGTTTTGCGCGTCCATTCGGTGTTCCGGCAACGGCTGTGTCCGTTTAGCTGACAGCATCCGTCGTTTGCCGAGTAGATTTCAGTAGAAAATCAAGAAATTAAACATTTTTCAACGATCCGACGCGTTCGAATTAACTCGGAAACAAACAGCAGGGATAAATAACAGCCAAATTCAATTGTGAAACAGTCCAATTTGCTCTCACGCACTGGTCAAGGGTTGTTGGCAATGTGGCCGACGCGTAGATTTCGTTAATTTAATTTAAACTTCAATTATTTGCTTCAGTTCAACAGAATAAGTCAAATCAAATTTCGGCTAACATTATTTTTTAGTTTCTGTAATAAATTCATTTTCTATTGGGTTATTAGGCCGTTTAGTTTTATCACTATGACCAAAAAATGGAGTTTAGGGTAATGGGTTTTAGATTATGTACAATATTCAGGCGTATCCTAAAAGCACCCTTAGATACTAAATGTTTATATCACAGAAACCTAAAACGTGCCGCTCTGGGCTCTTAACTAATGCTTATCTAATCGCCGCCAACTTTTGAGAAACTAAATGGTAACTTTATTGATAAATCGACTATTACCTAATCGCTATCGACGTTCTGCACTCTTTCACACAACTTTTTTGTTTTTCCACGAACGTGCACAAAAAGAATAAATATCAATTGATATGGAAAATTAAAACGGAAGTTTATTGCCCCGCCTTGCAATATGTGAGAAGAAATGCGTGGTTATGTAATAAAATATTGATTTTTTTGTTTTTGGTGATTTTTACAGAGGTACAAGTGGAATAGACGTGGATCTACGAAGGGTGGATATCGACCAGTGCCCGCTGCCAGCGGACAGCACTCAGTTGAACATCTTTGCCTCGTCGGATAAGTGCAAGAAGCGAACGACCGAGGTACATATACCTTGGCAGTGGTTTTATTCACGTGCGCTTTCGCCATTTTACCATATCCGCTTATCCTCTCCCGAGTACTCACTGCACTTAGCTTGTTTTTTCAACTTGCATTACTCTATTTACATTTAGAATCAGTGTAAGTGTAAGAACAACATTTTCTATTATTTAATCGAAAGTCCCAACATCTTGACATTCTATTTCCTGCACATGCGTAGACATCATTAGGACGCAAATCACTCGTCGTTACAGGATGAACGAAAACCTAAAACCTAAAACCCTTTCTGAAATAATGTAGATGGAAAACGGCAAAGTGATTTCCTGATTCGCGCCCTTGCCTTCAATTTCCTGACCTCTATTATCCTTTGGAGATGTTCAAGCCTTCAGTTTACATAATCTTATTGCGTATGTTATGCCACCGCAACATTTTTTTATTATATTTTTTATTTTACGACCCCGCATGCATCTTATCGCTTTGTATGGCTGAGCCCTAGTTGATTTTTTATTGTTTTGCAGTGCGTGCCGCTCGCAGGGCTGGGTTTCCGGCGCGGCAGTTACAAATGTGTCTGCAAGAAAGGATACTACTTTCCGGATACCACAGCCGAGCGGCGTTATTATAATGGCACACTACTTGAAGAGGAATATGAAAAATACATGCTCGTAAGTGAAAAATTATTTAAAATTCAAAAATTCAAAGTTTTATTAATATTTTACGACTAGTTCCGGTGTTATACGAGTAGAGTCAATATACCATTGTGTGTCAAGTCGTAACGACTGCAAACGTCGAAATTTATCGCCTTCACCTTAATCACATTGTCTGTGACTCCGGTAACGCTTGCACATCCTGCAAGTTTCTACTCTTGCACACACATAAATCCGACAAAATGCAATTAACCATTTCATATCTTACTCTGCGCGCCGGCCCGCTATTTCTAAATTCTAAGCTCCTGGCCTCCTGGACATTCAGGATTCCACCGGAGTAAGTTCATCTTTTTTCTGGCGTCCGGTGCGGTATTACGGCGGTTATTGCCTGCACCGCAAACCGCGCCCGTCTCATCCGGAGCACGTTTTATGTCTGGAATAAACCTAAACTTGGGGTCATCCCGCACCCCCAGCTGGTCCACGACGAGAAGGAACCGCACGTGATAGTGTTATGTATCATACTCCGCAGCGCAGCGAGGATGTTTTACGGTTCACATGCAATAAAGCACAACACTGAAATAATAAATCTCTTGATTTAATTATCTCAGAAATATTTTTAGTTAGTAATAATTTTAGTATATTACGCAATAAAGAGTTTTGTTGTATTCGCATAGGTATTCGGAATACGTGCAAAATGCAAGATTTCATATTGTGTTTTGTTTGTTTATGTTTTTTGTGCGCGTATCGCGTGATTTCGCGCAGGTATGCATTCAACGCCGGGCACACTCACTGATACATAGAAACAACGTTCACACAGCGTTTGCTTGGAGTTTAAAGCAAATAAGTGCATACTAGCGACATCTTACGGCTCATAAAGTTACTAGTGTATTCAGCGCATGTTGCGCTCAAGGACATGCGTTACTCCATATAAGCCAATGCGCGCAAGGCTGATGACAAGCATGCCTTTCACCACAATCAAACTAGTATTCAGCACCGGTACACATAGGATTTTATGCCAAAACTGCATCCGATCGCCATCTAACCTCAAAATATAGAATTATATTTAAATTATATAAACAAACACACAAAGTAAAACTAAGAATACAACGAGTTGAAATTAATACTTTAATTGATTCTTAATGCAAAAAATAATAAATTTTGAGTTATATTTAGATGTTTATTTGCATATTTTGATATAACTTTCCTTTTCGCCTGAAATATGAATGAAAATAAATATAATATGGGTGAATTTGGTAGATTTCGCTTGTTAAACTCTCATTTATTTACCTGTAATTTAGGGTATTTGCAAAATAATTGGTACACAATTCAAGTGCGACTGTGTTTCTATATTTACATCTTGCTTTGATGCCGAAATTACGCGCGGGCAAACAAATTTAATACAAAATGCAAAATATTCAAATATCATTCACAAACGTAATTAACAAACATTTTAATAACATCAAAATTGTAATTTCGTATATTATCCTAAGTCTAAAATATTACACTGGTATATTTTCGGATTGAAAACGTGTTTTCCAAAAATTTCTGCATTTTATTCGCGCTAAATCAGCAAAACTTCTCTCGTTATATTCTAGTTCAGTAAAAAGGTTTTTTCAGAGGGTGTGTGATGTGTGTAGACGAGTAACATCCGTGTCAAACATCAAATTTGAATTGTTCGCGAGTTTTTTGCTGCTGCAACCAGTAAGACGAAATTGATGGACGCACGGAAGCGGAAAAGACAGATTCACGATTTGCATAAAACATGAAAACGATTGAAAGCGTCAATATTTCCTTTTCGGCGCGCGAATGTGCTATTTTCTTTAGCGTTATTGATCTTGGGCGTTTGTGAAGCATAATATTGTTGTTCGCAGGGGCAGACGAACCACTACTCGACGGCGGACCTCTTCGAATGTCTGCAGTGTCCGGAGGGTTGTGAGCAGTGCGAGGATGATCGGCCGTGCGTCGTTTCCCTCAACTGGGTGATGCGCACCGCCATACTGGTGCTTTCGTGCGTGATAATCTGCTGCCTGCCGGTGGTCGTGATTTTCACCTGGAAGTACGGCAACGTCAAGGTGAGCAAGCGAACGATCATGCATCGCTTCACTTCGTCATCCTGGTAGATCTGGGAACTCGTCTTGTTATAAGACGTTTAATAGGAACTTCTTCGTGCGTGCCATGGCGCTTACAATCTGCATATGCAAATTCTAAGCATATTTAACAATTTCACACCGAGAAACGCGCAAAAAATTGTTTTCCACATAAAATTTTTAAAAATATAATATTTATTTTTTTGTGTTCCTTGAGGAAATGTTAACGAAAGCTCTAAAGCTTTGCGATGACGTTAAATACGTTTGTATTTAATGTTCAACGCCAGAGATGATGAGTGAGCGCACATCTCCAAAGGGTTTGCGATGCGGGCAAGCTCGCTGCAAGTATTAAAATTAAATATTAAAAGTTATGACTTCATTTTTCATTTTTACGCTTGAACGCTCGTGTGCGCTCGAAACTTTTCCTCATCGCAAAAAATTAGAAGAAAAAAAAAATAACCAACTAAATAACCAACGCGTTAACTTTGAATATATTTAATTGAAAATACGCGTTTTATTATTTTATTAAATCAATAAAAACGCTGAAATTAATATGCTGACAAGTTATATTTATGAAACTTGTGCGCGCGCCGTTTAAATATTCAACGCTAATGAATATTCCGCCAACGCCAACTATCATTAGAGTGCGTATATTGTGATGAGCGGTGCAAAACTCTGAATGAAATCATTAAAATTTACAACGCGAGTGCAACTGACTGAAGCGTTGTTCGCGGTGTTATATAGACGAAAATATGCCGAGTGTTAATTAAATTTATGGCGGTGTTCGTCTCTGCGCGCGTCTGCCAGTGCCGATATGGCAAATAAAATTAATAACAATCTATGGCAGCCGCCTCGTGCATTCTAATTAAACGCTGACGGCACAATTAGTCCCTTAATACACGCCGAAAACTTATGCATAAAATGCATAAAATTTCGTGAAAATTTTCATAATTTTTATTTATTTTCAGGTTGTTAGAGCTGCTAGTCCTGTTCTACTACGAGTTATTACATTGGGAGCGTTTTTTATATATAGTACTGTAAGTATGTTGCGCATGCGCATTAAAAAAATGTTTTTTGTAAATTATTTGTGTTTTAATAATTAAAATATAGGAGACTGTAAAATTCCGTAGGGATTTTGTGGGGATTCGAGCGAATCGAGATTTCCAAAGCTCCGCGAGCTTTTCTGCGACTCTGCGCGTTAATACCAAAAATTTCGCACTAAAAACTAAAAGCAGCGTTCTTAACTAGCAGCGAATTTACTGGAAACGCGCGCGGAATCCCGGGTCTTACTCGGCGCAAAACTCAAACGGATTAATGTTATGTCTTATAATCTTTGTTCCTCGCCGACGTTTTGTCTGCCATTCCTTCCTTAAACACTCTAATGTTAAAATATTTGCTCACAGACTGTTTTTCTGCGCATTTCGGGAAGTAAATTTTAATTTATCGCCGGAATTCGGAAAGTTGCGAAATTTGATCATTGGTTAGACGCATATTAATTCGAAAACAAGCGCAAATAGTTCGGTTTCGGGCTGGTGGGCTAGTCTGACATAAGTAATAGCGTTTAGCCGCCATCACGCTTGATTAAAGCTTCGCGCCGCGCCGCTAACAAACACAAATCAAGATAACCCCAAACTCCGAAGCGTCCAACATTTACATCGCCCACTCACTCTTTAATTAATACACGGCGAACCGGCCCGCGGGCGTGATAAATTAGTTCGGCGCATTCGCCCGTTTGATCGCTTTTGTTAACAATTTAACGTTTACGGCTGCAAATTACCGATCGAAACTTTTAACCACCTTTTGAAATATCAACTTTCTGCGTTTTCTGCACTTTTTAATGTGCGACATTGTGGTAATAATTAAATAAACGCCGAGCGCAGCATTTTTTTTCCTTCTCTGGAAAAGAAAAAGCAATCAAGGAAACTCATACTTCTCTATCGCCGAAGGCAACCGACCGAAACTTTATAGACCTTCGGCGCGGCAAACGAATTTACTGAGCAAATTTACAATTGATTCATTTCGCTTGCTTGCCAGCGGAGAGAGAAAAAGGTTTCTTTGTCATGTTGCTAAACTCGGCCATCAAGCGGAAAATTTATCGATACGACACGACATTCTTCTCGGATTGTCTGTTGGAAAACAGCTGAAGCTGATTGGCCTGATGTTTTCATTGCGTTTTCATTACCGCTGCCAACATGAGCATCCGTGTTTCCTCATTGTTCGCCATCGTCATTTCAGTTTCATGTTCCACGCTGCGCGCATTGTGTTTGGTGTTGATTGGTGCATTTTGTGTTGCAGACTTTGGTAATGTATCCGCGCCCGAGCGTGTACACGTGCACGGCGCGCGTCTGGTTGCGCGAGATCGGCTTTTCGCTAACCTACGGCGCACTCATGCTGAAAACCTGGCGGTGAGTAGCTCACAAACGACCAAAGCACTCGCACTCTCATGTTGATAGCCCTAACCAATGGTTACTACAACTACTCCATGCTTTCAATACGCTAGATAAAACTTTAAAAGCTGCAATCACAGCGAAAACGTTTTTCTACTTTAAAAACTTTTTGCTTCGTGTTTTTACATGATAAATATCCATAGGATTTCTGTAATATTCCGCGTGAGGTCGGCGAAGGCCGTCAAGATCACCGACATGAATCTGCTGAAGCGGCTGGGCATTATCCTGGCGATTTTCACCGTGTTCCTCATCATTCGGACGCTCGTCGCACCGCCGATCGTCATCGTCGGGCGCACCGCCGACGATCTGAAAGCGTATCTGTGTCGCACCGATTGGTGGGATCACTCCTTCAGCATGCGTAAGTGCCACATTCGTCCTAGGTTTTTATAACCAAGCTTTTTACCTCCATTCTATTTTTTTCTTCCTCGTTACTGTGATCTTTTATGATGGAATGCACTTAAGAGCCGTGGCGTTACTAAAGGGCCACAGGGCTGAGAAGAAAAAAAAACTAGTTTTACGCCTAAAAACCATAAAACAATTCCTTTTTTACTTTTTTTTACCTTCACCTTTAAAACGCCAGTTTTTTCATGATTTTGAGACATAAAAAGTGGTACTATAGCCATGGTCGTGACTTAAGTACTTTAGTCACGGGTTTTAGTCACGAGTGAAGCAAGTTTTGAAGATTTAAAATAAAAAAGTTAAAATACAAAAACATCAACGTGGAAATAGAGTGGAAGTAGAAAAAATAGCTTAAGTATCACGTGGCTAAACGTTGTTAAACACTTGATTGATTAAACGCTCGCTACGCTCCCTCTCAATCAATCTCGTGACTAAATCTCACGTTTTACCACTTAATTTTTAATATACTATTAAATATCCACTAAAAATGAAATTTTATTGACGTGTTTAATTTAGTTATAAAAGTTTTGAGTAGCAATTCAGTAGATAATTTAAACAATAACTTCCAGCGTGTTGGAAAAGATTTCGGTGTTCATTATGAATGTAAATCGGAGTTTTACTGCATTACCTTGCCTCCTTGGCGAAAATTGGCAGTAACTGCTCTTAATTGCTCGCGTTAGCCCACAATTGAGACGCTTACCATCTTCCCTCTAGACTCTGCGTTCAATTCTAGTAATAATTTCCATTCTTACGTTCACACTCGCTCGGGATTAAAAGTTAACAAAAGATTTAATCAAATTATTTAACTAAATACGCTCGTTCGAAGTTTATTGACTGTAATTCAATTAAAAGTACATCTCAATATTATTCTAGCAGAAAATTATGCTGAAATTTTATTATTTTTTCATAAATGTCAGTTAGAACACGAATAATTCGTCAATTAATTATTCGAAATAAAATAAATCGATTCAAATGCCACATTGTAAGCGATAAGCGCGTATTTGCCGCTGACATTTTATGTTTTTATTCATTGCAGCTGCTATTAATTGGAAATGTTTTCAAAGCGACGACTGACAAATTTACCTTCCTACAAATATCACAATGCAGCAGCACAATAAATGCAATTTTTTGTTATGTAGTCTGTGAATGACACTCAAAGCGCTGAAAAATGTTCCATATTTAAACAATAGGATAAAGCGATTCCAATACAACATGTGATTTTTATGGATTTTGAAAAATTCATTAAACCCAAAGAATGCAAATAATGATTTTCGACTCTATTACTACCCAACTAAGAATACGAAGAGTCGAAAAGTTACTTTGCAGGCTTGCAACTTTCTTCCAAACTTCTGCAAACTTTTAAAAGGCTATATTTTACCTGTTAGATGCTTTTTTCTCTTTATTTTCCGTCAGCTATCATTACCCAAGTTTATCTACACTTTAAAATGTTTAACTTTGAAGTAAATGAAAAATTATTGCGATTGGCACGAAATTTTTTGAAAATTTCTGCATATAATGTTAAATAGAATGCAAAATATGATTACGATCGGTTAAAATCTTTTGCATGTTCCCAGCGGGGTGTTGTACAAAGCCTCGAATAATGTACGACTATATGTATATGCGTGTGGTTTTGTTCGTATGATTTCAGTCGAAGTGATTTTCCTTGTTTGGGGAATTCGCCTCTGCATCGTCGTGCGGAAAGCGCCTTCGGAGTTCAACGAGAGCCGCTTCATATCCATGGCGATTTATAATGAATTTCTACTTTCGGTTTTCTTAAATATTTCGATGTGAGTTGGGTATGCTGCATGTGAGCCGCATAACAAAAATCATCATAAATCATTGGTTTTACAGGCTCTTCCTTCAAAAGCCGGCTAATCCCGATCTTCTCTACATCATTTTCTTCTGTCACACGCAGCTCACTGTCACGCTGCTTTTGTGTTTAATATTTGGGAGTAAAGTAAGATTTAAACTTGTTTTCCTTCTTAAAACACTAAAATTAATCATTATTCATATTTATTATTAAATTAGGCATATATGGTCTTCAAAGGCCACGATAAAAATGAAGATTCTTCCGGTATGATGTCAAAACCGCAAGCTTCTAAGTTCATCAGTAAAGTGCGTTCAGGCAACTCGCAATACACGAGCACAAACTCATCAGTCGCCGGTTTAGAATACGCGAAAATCTCCGAAGCAGATGTACAGGAAGAATTCATGCGTCTGTACACACAACTAGAACTCCTGAAAGAGAAAAACATGCGCGTTGGCAACCGCCATCTAGCGTCGAAAATAACCGCGATGCAAAACGCCGCATGCAAACACGATCATGACCAGGAAGCGACGAAACGCGGCTCGAAAAACATGCTCAAGGATAAAGTGTCCACAACGCGTATTCAGGAAGAAACAAGTTGCGACACCACATCTGCAACAACGCCATCTACCGGTAAAGTAAAGCGACCTAGTGTATCATTTGCTCAAGCGGATGTAAATGGTGAATCAACAGCTATAAAAACCACCACTGATGATTCCCAAGAAGAGTCCACATCAGCCACGGAAGGTAGTATTGAATTGGGTAGCCGAGAAGATCAATCATCGACTCCGCCCACTGTGAACGTGGCAGCGGTGAGTAGCGCAAGCGAAAGTCCATCCAGCAGTCGAAATGGCCGCGTGTTGAAGTCCGGTCATGCGCGGACGCATGCGATTGTTATCAATCTAGACGATAAGAGCCGATTTACCGAAGAAGTCACCGTTTAAATTCAGCAAGTTAGTTATTTCTAAGTAACTTGCTGATTTGAGGTTAGTTTTAGTACCAGTTAACGCCGTCGACTGACTTGAGCCCCATGTCGACCGCCTTAATTCGTATACGCGACGGAATCAAGCGTGAGCGACATTTTTACTCACTCTGGATTTTTCTATTCGACTGACACTTCCGGCTAGAGGCTAGACATATCGTGCACATACAATGAAAATGAAAATATTGATATCAATGTGTATATGTACATATTACTACGATAATTATAAACTCTGATTACAAAAAGTGTAAACATGGTAAATGTATAATTAACAAAACGTTTAAACTTTAAAAACATGCACGGCGTTATCAATTTGCATAAATTATTATAAAATTGATTGCGTCAGGAGTGCTGTATAAAAACTAATATTGATAAAACCAAAAACAAAATGATAACTATTACGTGTTAAGACGACTAAGATTTTATCACTACGTAATTGTGTAAATTCGTCGCATTGGATGCACTATGTTTGCGCATGCGCAATGCGCTCAAGAGTATTATCATTGTTAAGAAGCCGAAGGGATAACTTAAAGTCATTGGGAATGTAATTTGGATTTATTTTGAGTAATGCTCAGCATGTATTAAGATGTTATACATTCGGTTGTTGGAAAAATTTAAATAAATTTGAAATCATTTTTCTAAAAAAATATTTTTACTTATTTTATACAACAATCCAATAATTATTTTCAGAAATATTCATAAAAACAAAGGTAAGTAATGAAAAATGTGTAAATTTGCTCCGCCTACCGTGTCCAGCACGCATGCGCGCATAACTCACGTTTATATAATGCGTAGGAATGGTATTGTTGTCCGCAGTCCAATATTTCATTGACTGAACATATTAAACCAGGCTCAGATAAAGGTATAAAGAGAATACCGGAATGTAATTTCGATGTCGAATTCCCGCCGATAACAATAGAAGATGTCGCTAGTTTAATGTGAGTAGGCAGTAGGTAGGTATTCATCAACTTTTGCAAACACAAGCAATCAGCAAGCCATCTCGTAATTAACGAACTAATTCGCAGCGCAGCGCAGCTCCGCAACTGCACCGCAGGATATTGAGTAAACAACGTTACGTTAAACATGTATCCTGCGTCCTGTGTCCTGCATCCCGCATCAAAGCCCATACGTATGATACTAATTATAAATTCATTATCATTACCTCAACGGACCTAACTTGATACATTATGCAATGTGGTATAATTAACAAAATACACAAAAAAAGTTTCAGTGTGGCGATTATAACCTCAAACTTTAAAGATTTGGATTTAAAGGTTATGTGTTATGTATTCATGCACGTTTCGCAGGCCGATGTAATCGTAAACGAAAACGTGCGCTGTTTTAATTGCAACGCTCACAGCAAACGCAAATCGATCTAATCTTGTAATGCTAAACCTGCGATGAGCATCAGAGGATTGCAATGCATGGGAAACTCAGTCAATTACATTTGCATCATCAATGGCCATCAGGCGGACACAATGAGAACATTCAAGCGGCGGAATTACTTTAATTCTTCGTTGGAATTTTATTTACAAGGGAATATCTATAATATAAAATAAAAATAATTCGTAAAATGTGTTGGTAAGCGCATAACTCAGCAACGCCTTGAGCAATTTGACCAATTCTTTTTTTTTTAATGTTCGTTAAAGTCCAAGGATGGGTTTTGCGGCAAGAAAAATTCGAATAATTGCCGAGAAAACCCTAAAAACAGCCTTTTTCTATAGGATAAAAGTAGGCATTGACATTCAGTCATAATTATAGTTGAATAGTTAAATCCGAGATGGCGCGCTGAAGTGCATTATTAGCAATTCTTAATATAATTAATTTCTTTAAAATAAAATTGCAAATCTTATTGATATTGACACATACTATGCCTAGAACAAGAGACTGACAACGAATTACATTTTTATTAAACACTACCGGGACGAAGTCGCAGGCAAAAGCAGTCTACGAGTATAATATAAAAATGCATCGCAAAATCTGTTGGTAAGCGCATAACTCAACAACGCTTAGACCAATTTGGCCAATTCTTTTTTTAAAATGTTCATTGAAGTCCAAGGATGGTTTTTACAGTGAGAAAAATTTGAATAATTGCCGGGAAAACCCTAAAAACAGCTTTTTTCTATAGGATAAAAGTTGGCGTTGAGATTCAATTATAGTTATAGTTAAATATTTCGAAATATTTATTTATTAAAATTTCAAAATATACAATGGATTACGTATTCACAAATGAAAGTAATAAAAATATTGTTAAATAGTTGAATCCGAGATGGCGCGCTGAAGTGCTTTATTAGCAAATCTTTATATAATTAATTTCTTTAAAATAAAATTGCGAATCTTATTGATAGAATTGACACATACTATGCCTAGAACAAAAGAGTAAAAACGAACATTAATATTATATAACTTTTATATAACTTTTTTTTAAACGGGACGAAGTCGCGGACAAAATAAATTTGTATTTATTTGAGGAAAAAATATTAGAGGACAAAAACTAAGCCGAGATTATTTTTTTGCAAAAAATAACACCGGATAAGATATTGCCGTGATGTGGAGTAGCAACAAGGAAGCTGTTGGCGCCCCCTCGCCGTCCCAATAATAGTAAATTACCCAGACGGTTATGTCGCACACATAAAGATCGGGATTTAGTGTCGGGGCCGCGTCGGCAGAGAGACATCGCCATTATTTCATCATTTTCGACAACGCCGAAACCCATCCGGACGAACATAACGCGCAAGATGTCCGCTCCCCGCGACGCAAACCATAAACATGGAAATCCAACTATCTCATTGTGTGTCACAAGGGTCGAATTTTAATAATTAATGCGTGTAAGGGTCGCATAAACCAAAACCCCGACGTTTCTTCTGATTGCAATAAACATTCAATATCTTCAAAGAAAAAAAGCAATTCCTCGCAAAACCTCGAATGTAGGCAACTTTATTCCATCATATCATTAAATATGAATGAGACTCACATGCGAGCGATGAGAAAAAAAAACCTACGGTGAGGGATTATAAGCGTATGCGCCCGTTTTATATTCCAATTCGTATCAAATCGAATTCTGCGCGAGTCGCAGATTTAGAGTGCCCCGAAGAAAGTAGAAGCATAAATAGTTAGGAGACGTGATAAGAGAAAGCAAACGACTTGCAGAGGCTGCAATATAAAAAGTATCTTTGCGGATAAAAGACGTAGGATGCACCAACATATTCCATCAATGATAGATGAATCGGAAAGTGAGTCAACCTGTCACAATGTCGGACGTAAAATGAATGATGGATGAAATGCAAGTCAATAGATCTGAGTAAACTAAAAAAAGCTCTGAAAAGAAAAAAATAAATTTTTGTTTTTTGATTGCAGTAATTCGATTTTGTAATTTTTCAATTTTCTTTTCCGGGTGTGCACGGAGAAAATTGGTTTCGGAGAAAATTAGTCGCGTGCTTTTGTGCCTGTGTCACTGCGGTGCCATTCCGATAATCCTTTTCTTCGTTTTTCGCACGCCGGGCGCGTAACAAGGCGAGCGGCGCGCGATTCTCATTGCCCCCGTTCGCAGGTTTACAAGTTTTTACAAGTGCACGAGATAAATGCCGCCTTCTCAAAACTTGGTGCAATCGCACTTGAAGTCATTTTCGGCGGACGAGTCCTCCGGGGTCGCACATCCGACCACAATCCGGCAAACTTCAAAACGCGATCGAAAAACAAATTGCATTAGTTTCCAATTTTCGCTGGCAACACCAACTTTAACTTCTACGTTTTTTTAGGCACGTTTTTTGTGCTGCCAATTAGATTAGATTAGGGAATAGACTAGTTTTATGATTTTATCATAACTTACAATATAAGTAGATTTTATGTTGTGTTCGGTGTGTTGCCTATAATATTTTATTCTTTTTATGACAATATTGTGAGTACAGCACTTATCGAAACTATCAGAAGTGAACATAAGTGTATAATAAAAAAAACGTAATCGGATTAAGTTTGATATTTGCTATAACACATGGAAAAAATACAAAAAATCTATTTAAACAACACGAAAACACAGAAGCACGTAGCCTCTACTAGCGCAACTCCCCACTACTTTTTACTGGTATAAAAAGGCAACGTGCAGCGACCACAGCATTCAGTCGTGCCTAAGTCGTCCTATTATTTTATTATATTTCACATCTTAACCTTAATTTTTATTTTAAACCAAAACTGAAAACTTAAATTCACTCGCACGACTCCTGAAAGCTCATTATAAATAACTTTAATTAGTAAGACGCTTTTGTTTTATGTTAAAACTTGAAGCAGAATGCACAGGCAGTAGATTGATTTACATGCACTGCAAGAAACTACATGAACCTCGAAGAAGCTAGTTGTATCAGTCGAAGACCGAACAAAAACAAGAATAAGCTGGCAACTGTGTTTGTTCGCCGTCTGCAGCTGCAGAAATTTATCGTGATAGAACGAGCTTTACAGCTTAAAATAAGCTCAAAACAAAATAAGAATTAAATTAAACTTCTACATCAGTTATAAATTACAAAAACCGCATTATTTAAACTTGGCGAACAAAAAAACTATTTAACATGAACAGTGCAATTATACACTACGCATTTAGTTTGTAACTTGTAACTGGTAACTTACTTCAGGCATTGTTATCGCTGTTTGCCACGCTGAACACGGCTCAAGTTACACTTGTCCGAATTTACGGCAGACTGGATAACACTATCATGTATTTCAACAGCAATATCTGTTATGATGATGGTTGTTACTTGCTACAGTTATGGAAATTATGCTAAGGACGTCATTTTATAGCCTACTAAATAGATGGCGCTGTTTAATTGCACCATGTGAAATTCTAACCTATATCATGTTTTTATGAACTAATTAACTATTAAATCAGCTTAGGGTATAATATTCTATAAGACTGATTCTCAGGCAACTAATAAGCTTACTTGCAGTGCACTAAAGTCTTATTATCTAAGAAACTTGAGATGATTTACAACGTTGTAAGATTTAACCTAAAATTTTGTAGTAGAAAAGTTTGGTTATAGAATGTAGATGCACTAGATGAATAATTCAATGCGATTGTTGGTATTATGAGTGAATATGACATAATTGTAGCATTATGTTACACAATTGTGGGGAGCGCGCACACATGCGTGATGGCGGAATGTTGGGGATGTTGAATGTATAATGCGGTGAATGATTGCCTTATTGAAAGCGGCGGCGTACACTTGCATTGCGAACGCAATGCCAGTAGCGTAATGGCACTCGTCATTATTCATTTTAAGCGATTCGGCACGTTAGTGTGCGCGGCCATTACTCAAGATGTCAATTTGCTAATAATGCGGAATGCGAGCTAGGCAACCAGCATAACCTGTCATTTAACATACAAAGATATATTTGTTTAATTTTGCATCAAAAAAATCATATTTTAACATCATTCAATCGGGAAAATTTAATAAAAATAACGTGCTTTCAATAAAAAGGTTGTTGGAGCATCCAAAAAGGGTTTATGAAGGGTTTTAATGAAAACGTAAAGCTTCCCACAAATCTGACAGGAAACAAGCGGACATAACCAAAAGCTAACCCTATTTAACACACCTGTTTAATTGAATGAAAAACACTTATCCTGACATATTAAATAAAATTTGTCCAATACGCAAGTAAA